ACTCTGGTTCTACCTTCCATTTAATTAAACCCGCTCTAATCAGAAAAAAAAAGCGTCTTACTCTTTTTTGAAAATCATTTTCAGTTATCACTTGTGTCCAATAAATTGGCATTCCTGTGCAAGCTTCTTGTAGTTCTTTTCGTAGAAATATTGTGTTATCGACGAGGTCGTTTTCCAGACGGATCAGTCGTTCCACCTGCATTTCAGTCGTATTAAATAGTGTTTTATTCATAATTGGAGAAAGTATCGCTGCACGCTTTTGAAGTCTTTGAGGGTCCATTTTTGAGAGCTGATACGGTTTCAAATCCACATATTTGACCAGCTCGAGTCCATCTCTATAGTCGTGATAAAAGACTGCATGCTGACGATCGAGATTAGCAGGAACATTCATAATAACCAGATCATCATCCGCTTTCGTCACACGTTGCTCAACCGTTTGACGCAGTGGACTAATTGGAATTGTGTAGGTTTGTTCAGCAGAGACAATCACTTGACTGATGGTGGCCAAGATGGTCAAACAATATCGGAACATGATGAAAGTATAGGAAAGATGCTATAGTTTGCAATAACAAGTCCAGATGATATTTATACTCGCTATTCGTCGGAACTTGGCATATGAAACTCGAGGCTTAATTATAAGTACTGTCTGCACATTTATTCTTAGAAAAATATTAAATATTAGAATCATCTCGCAACAAGACCCGTCGTGTATTGACATCAGGCTTAAAAGATCCAACGGAAAAACAAAAACTAATCTCTGACTCATAAAAAAAGAAAGACGCTGTTTAACCAGAGATAAAAGTCAGCTTAGAATGAAGCCTCTCAGAAATTACAATCTTTACATAGTAACAATTATATTCTCCATATGTTGACGAACGAAGAAAAGAACGGAACTGCGTGTTTTACGGTGCAGTAAGAAACTTTAACGCAGAAAGACAATCAATTTATTTTTCATTTTAGTGCATCAAGTTAGAGGAGTTTCTGAACTGTTTGTATCGTTTGCCACTGTAGATACTATAGTGCTTTGAATAGATTACTTGAAACAAACCCTTGCCATTTATAATGGACAGGACTTGACGACAATGCTGCTCCAATACGCTAGAATTTGCTGCTTTTTTCCTTTTGCGCACTTCTGACAGATTTATTACTTTCTTTCATTAACTTTTCGAGTTCTCATCCCACTAAAAGTTTCATAGACATTTTTTCGTTTGCACAAATATAACAGACTAAAGGAAACCCTGTGTTCGTTCATTTCATTTCCGCCTATCTGTTTTTTATTGATTTCCTTACTTATTCAATTCCTTTTACTTAAGCACTAGATGTACGTTAACAATCGCCGTATTGTTACGGTAGAGTATTAATAGTCATTTTCAGATCGTTGGTTACGATGGTCGTCATATGCTGTAAAGGCTCGTTTATGATTGCTGTGAATGACTCCATAAACCCTTATCGTTTTACCCCTTAATTGATCGATACGCTACTCGGACGAACGAAAGTTGCAACGAACGAAATCGGAGTGCTTCATCCCCATAGGTTCCCTCGTCAGTATCAATCATGCCGGTAACCAGAGGGTGTTTCAAGCGTGCACGAATGCTCAATTTTGCTCACGTAATATTTGAACTACTACTGCATTCACACTCTCCTGAAGAAGTTGTCTGAATATTATCTGATCAGTTGAGCCACCCCTTCTAGCCATGACCGAGCTGTCGACTTCCGGGAACTCTTCTCGATATCAGAATTGCAATATCTTTGATAAACATACATCTCGCACATATCGACCATCCAAACAATTCTAGTGCTGGATTTCAGAAATGGGCTAGGACGGAAATAGGCAAAATTCAAAAGAAATCTTTCTAATTGCGCGCTGACCTAATTTTCCAAATTCTGTCTCAGAAACACTTCTTTCCCTCACTCTCATGCACAATAATTTGGTCAAAGCTTACCTTTTAGTATAAGTAAGCCAATCACGGAATCCCAAAGAATTGCTAACAGTTGCATCTGAGCTTGATTTCGGCAAATAATTGAACTCCGTTAATGTGGAGCAGGTTTCTTATGTAGAGTGATGGCCGAGTTCTCGTAATCAAATTGAATCGGTTTCTGGAACGGAACCAGTTTCACAGTATTTGGATGACTGCTCTAAATCCGTCGAAACACAGTTAAAAGTTTTAACGTAAATATTGCATAGTTATTGTTGAGAATTTTATCATCGATTGCAGATACTAAACGTTTTTTTTCAAAGTAATCATGAGGTTGCCTGAATTGTTGTGTTAACAGAACCGTCAAAGTTGATTCTGCAATAAACTTGGATGTTTAGGATAGTGCTTCCTGTTTTCATCAAGGACGCAACTTCTGTGTAAAATGTCACTTTCAACGTACTTATCAGGCCTCGAAATTGGGCCACTTTTTGATGGCCCGACCCAGCCCACACCAGGCCAAGCGTTGGTCACGCCCGACTTCTATTCTATTACTACTCTAAACCGTGCCCGGCCCGGTTTGGCCCGATGCTGATATAAGTATATTTTCTTTTCAAAAAAACTTTTTCACTATGGAAATTAATGATCATTTTTGTAGTTTATTCGAACACTAAAAGATATGCCTTCATGATGAATATGGGTTGAATAAAGTCAGACAGAGTTAATACTCGTGAAAATAGTATAAAAGATAATTCGAATTACTTATTGAACTGGAAAAGCAAGATGTCTCCTTCTACTCCAGTTTCATAAAGGTTATAATTTATTAACTAGAACCGCTCTGAGGTAGAATATTTGCTGATCAATACCAAAGAGTAAGACTGATTACTATCTGTAGCTTATTCTGTTACAATAAGCATACTGTCAACACTTCTCTACTTCAGTAACATTCATGTTATTTAATACAATATATAGTTCATTCGTGCTTGCGTGTGCCTGACGAGTGTCATTGATCAAAAGAAATGCTATTTATATTTATTCTCCACATGAAAATTACACAACATTCGTATAGTAGGGATTTCTCGTTGACATCAATTGCGAGGTGCGTAACCCATATATAACATTTCACGATACATCAGGTTAAAGTTAATCAAAAACAAGAAATCCAATAAAATTATTTTTACAGCTGAAAAATCAGATTTTATTCGTATCAAGACAGCATAATTTTAATCTATTTTTATCCATAAACTAATGGATCCTTATCTAATTTATCGGCAGTTTTCATATGTATAAATATTAACTGACTTTGTCTTTGTCTTTCGGAACGTGATATATTTGTCGAAGTTTAATCTAATATTCTATGAGGTATTTATTTAGCTTAGGAGTTCGACAAACATATTGGAAGTCAAAATTTCTGACCTAAAACTCAAGAAAAAACACGTCTCACGGTCACCACTATTAAAATCAGATTTTTTACGTTTTCTTACGTGAAAATCTTCCTACAGAAAACGAATAAAGTTCTGGTGGGGCGGCTCGCCCAGCCCACCGGTCTGCACTCTAATGGGGCCCGCTCAACCCGACAGGTTAGGCCCTTTTTAGTGGATCGGACCAAGCCGAGTAAAATCGAGCCGGGTCGGGCAGCTCGTTTCGAGCCCTGGTACTTATGACCGACCATCAGAACATCAGCTAAGAAGAATGAAATATACCACCGTGAACAAAAGTGCCACTAATAGGTAAAAACCATCAAAACAAAGATTGTTTGTCTTCGAACTTCTACCACAAGAAGAACTTGGTGAATCGTGTTCGTAGGGATGTGAGCGTGTCGTCCTATCTGAAGATCGGATCGCTCTAGATGACTAACTTTGAAGATGAGATGGAAACGAGGGATGATGGATGATGATTTATTGCAAAGAAATCAAAGGTATTTATAGCGCCTGTGAACTGACATGAACAAAGGGGGACAAATACACTTATCGATCCCCCTCGTCTATTAATTTAACTCGACTAATTAGCCCCTCAGGAGCTCATTAAAAGTATTCTCAACGGTCCCAGACCAATAGTTTAAGAGATAACCTAATCTGAAAAAAGTTGAAAACAGAAGGTGTTAGCGTTGGGTCAAAGTGACGGAAGAATAACTAAATAATATCACAAGAAGGAAAATATCTATTATCCATTTCGAAATAAAAGAAGTATGGGTATTTTTGGAATAACTTTTCGCAAGAATGAGATGAAGACCGGCGGTTTTCACTATTCAAAAAAGTAAATGAAACTGCATTGCACTGTATAGATCAGACTTTTCTGAACAAGTTTTTTGAAACCTTCAGTCATGTTTTTCAAAAAAGTTGTACTGTTTCCTAGGGTTGAAAAGACGCACTTTTCGCTAAAAAATGCGAAAATAAGTCGGTCTTTTGTGAAAAAAACTCAATAAAACATCTATAACTCACGACTGATTGGAACTATCAATGACGGACTTGTAGACTTTAAAGAATTTTTATTTGGCGTCATGACGCACTCTTCAAAATTAAGTTTACAAAACTTTCACACAACTCAATATTTTGTTTTCGATAAAGTTGACTGGAGGTTTTTGGAAACTGCCTCAGAAAAATCTGATGTATACAGTTCAATGCAGTTTCATCTCCTTTTCCGAATGGTGAAAACTGCACGTATTCATCAAAAGCTGTTCCCAAAATATCCACCCTTCTTTCATTTTGAAATGGATAATAAATGAAAGACAGAAAGAAAGATATATATGCATGTCGTACGTGTCATCTGTAAGATAAGAATATAGAAGAAAAAAGAGAAATCAAGCATATATGAACCTACTATAACATTTAATTTCTATACGTTTCTCTCTATCTCGCTTACTCGTAAACAATGGCCGTTCACGCTAAGCTCGTTAATGTCAACATGTTTACGTGAGATCTGCTGCTTCAGGATGCCGAGGAGACCCAGAAACTTGCCCAGAACTTGATCGGGGACCCAGAGAATATTTTTAATAAACTCCCCTGGAGAATATTACTCGAATTAGGCCAACAGATAAGGGGCGGCGGGGGTCGATAAGTGTATTTGTCCCAACAAAGGTGAAGCTGAACGAAGAACAGGCTGAACAACAAAGAAGAAACTGATCCAACTGCATCGAAAAGATGATGAAGCTACAACAAAAGCGAAACTGATGTAATGTGCATCGATGCGTGACAATGCACTAGATGATGCGACAGAAAAAGATGATGCAAGAGAACAGAAAGAAATGATAAAATGTGTGTCGGTGTATAGATCATCGACACACTCTAACAAGGTAAAAGCTCGAGTCCTATTCTCTTATATAGACTAATATATAAGATCAACATCGAAGATTTCCCTATTATGTTGTTTCGAATTAGGAAATAGATCCAATGTCGTTCGACTCACCATTGGAAAGTCCGGCGCGTCATCTACTTTGAGTAAAATTTTCATTACAAACTCGGCATCCTGAAGCAGCAGATCTCACGTAAACATGTTGACATTAACGAGCTTAGCGTGAACAGCCATTGTTTACGAGTAAGCGAGATAGAGAGAAACGTATAGAAATTAAATGTTATAGATATAGTAGGTTCATATATGCTTGATTTCTCTTTTTTCTTCT